GAGATACAGTTTCACTTTGGCGTTTATCAAGTGGGCGTAATACGTGCATACGCACGAACAAATACATTTTTCCAATGCACCTTTTTTTTTTACGCCCCGCTCTCACGAGGGCGTATCACGGCCGCCAGGCTTCGATCAATCGTGCAAATTCCAGTCGAATTACGCATCGTAATTATTTCTCACGTAATAGAGAACACGACGTCGAGTCACCGACGCGCATATTTATTTTTGCGATAAGCACCCGGTCGGCCGTTATTATGTAAAGTGAATGTGCACACGTGTACGCATATATGTAATCGTTATCCCGTTATCGTGAGATGCACTCTGCACAATGCGATCGAGATCTACGAGTGAAAAATGTTGATTTCGCGGAAACTTGCGGGGACCCTCGTCAGATCGCGCGTAGATCAATTTACTGCATGGTACCCTGAAAATAAAATTTGCTCAATTTTACGGAATATATTTCTTTGAATGGTATTTTGAAATATTATTTTTCGGTGAAGGTCAAAATATAAATGCTCTCAACTATTCGATCGATCAAACGGACGGAAGAATTTTATTTCGAGCGTATCGCAAAAATTTACTAAATTTTAATAGATATTTAAGTGTGAATGATAATTATTGACTAAATATTTATTAAATGTAAATATATAAACAAATATATATAATGAGGCTCGAAAGAATCTATCTTAGTGAAAAAGCCTATCAGAGCCTATCTCATCAGATTCTATCTATTCGGATGCACAAAAATTCTTTTGTGCATATAAATAAAATAAAAATCGAAATTACATAATTAACGCAAATACCAAGTTGACGATTCCCGACAAGTTAGTTCGTTCTTCTTTATCCAAATGCCAAATTAGATAAAGTAAAACCGAAGTCATATTCATCGTTGCGTCACTACGTAGAATCACATCGCTCATCAGATTGTCAGATTTGATGTTAAGCGTTTTCTCGCGGCTTCACGTAAAGAACTTGTGGCGTCGACAGTCAGAGATACAAATGTAAATATATACTTATTTGTGGTACAAGAACAATTAATTTAAATATTATTTTTTATTGAATAATAAAATATTTATTTGCTGTAAGTACATGTTTAGCTAGTACTATTCAAACAAATATTGATTGAAACTTAGTAAATTTTTTTCAGCACAATGACAGCTCTACGAGTTCTTTTTCTTTCATCGGTGATATGAATGGCGATATATACGTGCGAATCGAAAGATACTTTCCCTACTTTCGCGCTACCGTTTAAGGCGGCTTTTAGTAGCGATTGGTCATTGTCCGAGGTGACCATTGCCGTCATCACCGGTGAAACCGAAACTTCCAGGAGAAAGTTCCAAAAAGGTCGACGAGTCGCGAAAATCAAACGAATCTACGATCGTGAGAAATTCCAGCGCGTACGAAAGTCATCTCACGCCTAGGTCGGTTAAAACGGAAACGAGAAACCAAAACATTAATTGTGCAACCGAATCTTTCGTTTGATTGTATAATTAATGAGGCGGGGCGAGATAAAAAAAAAAGAGAGAGAAAAAAACCGGTTTTCCGCTTGGATGCTGAATCACATCTGAAACCTGTCCGCATTTAATACGCCCGTCCGAATGTGCAAAATGCCATAGCGTTTGACACGGTGTTTTGTTTGGAATTATCGCGTGTTTTTCTTTGCACTGTGCGAATGACGCGCGAAAATCTCGAATGTTTCCGCGACATTCGGCGAAATTCACAAAGCCGGTTTCGAGCGCGATTATAAAATCACTTTTTTTTTATATTTTCATAGCGGTGAAATTGACGAGCGGAATTTTTTATCGATCATCGAAAATATCCTCGATCGAGAAGAGATTTTCGCGATTTTTTCATCCTACAAAATCAAAACACGAAACTTCTTCACGATACACAGCCCGAGTTTGCGAAACATTATATTGTAAAAATAAAGAAGAATTTCCAGGATTCCAAGAAATTGCCAAGATATCTACAGATTGTTTGTACATGCTAATGATTAGTAGTAACGGATAAAGCTAATAAAATGATCGGATATTTATAGCGAAATGTTTTATTGCTCACTTTGCAAATCTCGTTAATGTTAATCATAATGAACTGTGGATTTCCCGACGTAAAACGAAAAGGAAAACAAAAGAGGAAAAATATAAGGAAGGCGAGAAAGAATGAGTTATGATCTCGTGCATTTACGCGGTCACGCACCTTTTGCGTCATACACGCGGAGCAGCCCTCGGTGATTTCGCAATTCGGCATTATTTTCTCACAAACGGTAGTTGAATGCGCTGATATGTATAATGATATGAGCGTGCGCTCATAAAAGAGAGACACCGATGTATATGTATATACGCGGGGTCACTCGTTGCGAATGTTTCGCGTTTGTACGGCGTAGAAATGCACGTGCATATCCTGCCGCGAAACCTCGCCCTGAATTTCACTTGTTAGGCCTCTGTAAAATCCTCATCACTGGGAGAGACATTTGTGCAATCATCGCTTCGATCATTGGGAGAGAGAAATCAAGAGAACGGAATTTCAGCCGGGTAGATAATTTTGTTTGCTCCCCAACCAGCACACAACCAGACACAGTTGACACTACTGTATGTATATAACATAGTGGAACCATTGTTGTTTGCCAATGTTAAACAAAGGTGATTACGATCGGTCGTCGTGCCGCTTGCTGGAATTCATTTATTAATCGCTATAAGGAAACTTGGCGCTTAATTGCTTAATTCGCGTAAATCCTGCAGCTGCAAAATCGTGGTCGTGTGCAGGAAGCGGGAGCGACGTTCTGCATTCTGAGCGAATGCCCAGACTCCGATGACGCGAAAGTGACGGCTATGTTTATTCGCGGCAATTGGCGCACGGTTCATTCTCCCGTATCTATAACGCGGTCGGAAATTGAATTCGTCGAGATTACGTGCTAAAGGTTTCAGTCCGTGCTCGGCCTCGCGTAACAATTCGCACCGACGGGCTATGAATAGAAAATGGAGTGTAACTATCGTCGGCCGATTGTTGCGAGACGATCACGCCGCGCGGCGCCGGTTATCCTCTTATCTATTTAGCGCGAAGGGATGGAGATGGATCTTGATCCAGTAAGAATACCCCTCTCATGCCCGTTTCTATGAATGTAATTTAACTTTAATCTCGGTTCAACTGACTCTTCATTTTTTTTCCTAGTCCTACATTGAGAAAAAAATTATCAAGTTTCAATAAATATTGTTTGAATAGTTCTAACTAAACATTCGCTTCAAGTAAATAAATATTTACTCCAAAAAAAAAATACTTAAATTTATATGGTTTTTGTCTAACAAACAAATAGGGGAGACCGGGGTTAGTTGACTATAGGGGTAAGTAGAATAATCGAGACTATATTAAAAACAAAATACGCAGCAACGACTGTCGCTAAGTTTGCTGTAACATCTTGTTGACACACATCTATGATAGAAGTTATGCCACAATTTTAAAAAATCATACACCTAAGTAAAAAATATTTGTATTCTTAAAATTTTTGTTTTACAATCGTATGATTGTCTGAGATATTTGATTTCTACTTAGACAGTGAGTGTAGTCCTTACTTAATAAAGTCCAACAGATTTTTTTTTGTTTACGTGTCTTTGTTATCGTATATTGTTAACGTTTTTAAAAAATAAACGAATGGGGATGGTAGACTAACCACAGCATGGAACTGTATGACTCATTTAGTGACGACTCTTATAGTACTTACTCAAAATTTTATCAAAGAGATTTTTCTTAGTGATAAATGTTATAAGTTTAGTTCTCTCATGTCCAATCTCGAAAACTAGGTTCATTCGACGTGTTTTTGCACGAAACGAATGTTTGTGTGTAAAATGCATTTTTATAAAAGTTTTTCTAATATGTAGTCAAAGATGTAGCTTAAAATACATTAATCTTTATTTTAATAATCTTAGTCGAATTACCGCGGTCTCGGGGCTAGTTGAATCAGATGGAACGCATTAGAAAAATGCATTTTTTTTCATATTAGTTATTAGTTTCCCTTTATTATTAAAATATTATTAGATAGTCAAATGTACGTAGTAACTGATGTAGAATTTTTTCGATAAGTCTCTTAATTTCATCTGTAAAATTCGAAAGATGAATCTATTAGTCCCGGTCTCCCCTCTATGTTTAAATATTTAGGTACTATTCGAACAAATATTTATCAAAATTGAGCAATTTGTTCTTTTTCAATATAAGAATTGAAAAAAGGGTTAAATGTAAATTGAACCGAGATCAAAGTTCTACATTGGTAGAAATGAACATTAGTCTCCCTCTCTCTCTCTCTCTCTCTCTCTCTCTCTCTCTCTTTCGTCTCCTCCTCTTCCTTCTCCCTATAACAACCTGCTGCAACTCGCGAGGATGGAGGACGGACAAGCTCTCGGCAGCCGTGGCTGGTACCGCCATCCTCTCCTATCCCTTCTCATTCTATCGGATCATCTACCATCAACGATCGCGCTCGCTACTCCATTCTACGAAGAGACCCGGCGAGACAGCTCTCTCTCTCTCTCTCTCTCTCGTTCTCTTATACGAGTACCTATCTCGAAGATATGAATTGTCTATAGTCTATCCGCTCTTTCTCCTCCTATCTCACAATGATATATACGCTTTTCCTCTCTCATCGGAGATGGAAATTTCATTATACCGGCGTGGAGGGAGCATTCCCCGCAAATAATCTCGCTCAATCTGCTGCTTGTTTAACATTTTTCTTCCTTGCAATGCAGAGAGTAGATAAGGAACGGGTCGCGGGGAATAGGTGGATGATGAGGACAGGCCGTGGCCCGACCGTGGCTGGTACCACCACCCAATATCAGCCTCCGTTTCACCGAATAACCTAGCGGCGGGTGATTCGACTCCCACGACCAGCTGCTCGAACATCGGCTGCGTTCGTTCGCGCTCGTGCGCGCTCGGCTCTCCTCTCCTCTCCTCTCCTCTCCTCTCCTCTTCGCCTAGCTGCCGCTGCACTACGTTCGCTCGGCGACGTGCACTCGCTTCAGTCCGCCGCGAGCCGTCGTTGGTCGGGTTCTAATTATTCCGGAAGCTTCTCCGAGTCGGCTCTCTCCGAGTTGTTACCCCTCAGCTTGATTTCCTGCGCGAAGTTTGGGAATGTATCCCGCGCGACCTCGTTGAATGTCAGTGAGTCGTTCGCACGAGCAAGAACAACAGGTGAGCGACTTTTCCACTCGATCGAATAATAACTTATTTGTAACAGCGCGATTGAATATCAACCAGTGTCTTTCGTCAAACGACGAAAATGATGGAATTTGTTTCCGATCTTTGTACCGTTTTTATCTAGAAGAACCAATTATTCGTGACATGGATGATAATATTTACATTATTTATCCTTTATGTGTACACACAAGATTATTAATGCTTTCGAGTACTTTCTAGACAGAGTCTGTGCATTTTGTGCGAATTGTTTCCGTATCCAGATCCATTATTGGAATGCCAACGTTTCGTGAACATTGCAGTTCACTTCATCGGGGGGAAAATATCTTTTTTGCGGGTTGCTCCAAAGTGAAGTAAACCGCATTGTTCACAAAACGTTGGTTTCTAATAATAATGGATCTGGACACGGAGACAACTCACAAAATGCGTAGATTCTATCTAGAAAGTATCCGTGGAAGTTTTACAACCATTAATCGTCGGGGTTGCGTTCCAAAATTCAACTCTGCCAGCTCGAGTATCTTTTCTTATCCTTGTTTGGCCACCGAATGTTGTATAAAGATAAAAGATACTCCGGAGTTGACAGAGTCAAGTTTTGGAACCCCAGGGCGAAGAGTATCGGGTTGCTCCGATAAAATAAAGTGAACTGCTAATGTTCACGTAACGTCGGCAATCTAATAATGCATCTGCAGAACTGAGAGAAATGTTTTCGTATACATGTGACTTTACAAAACACTTTCTTCCTTTTTAATTTAAAAGTTTTTTGTTGGTCTAATCAGATTTCGGTTAGAGAGACATCACATGTCTCACACAAAACACATTTCTCTCGGTATGGACACGGAGATCAATCGCGAAATTCGCGAGCGCAATTTTTTTTCTGCACAAGATTATTATATGTATATTTTATGTAATACGATCGTCAGCGTGCAATTTACCATTGTATGCGGAGCCGCGGGACGATGATGTTAAAAGATTATTGTTTCAACAATCAAACGCCGTGGTTACGCTGGCTGCAGCGTTATCGACATCCGGCGTCGTTCGCGTTATAACTCGAGATAGTCGGACGCACGTCATTCGCACGTGCGAAATCTCCTTGATTAGATTTAATTACGGAGGCGTAATTCACGCCGTGCGCCTGATTCGAAAGTCATCGACACGAGATCGAGCGAGCGAACGCGCGAGGTGGTCCCTTCCTTCGTTCGTTCGTAACGCCGAACTAATGGCGAGCTAATTTCACGACGCGAGAGATATTTACAATTAATGGCCAATCATCTGTTTTCGTTCTCGCGAAATCGCTCGGAAAACCTCGGAGAACCTTTCGAGAACGTATAGAGATAAAATGGGTTACTCCGTTCTCCGCGCGAAGTGAAAACGCGCGCGCGGCCGCGATCAGGCCTCTCGGAATACTTCTACGCGAATAGAATCACTTTCTTACGTTCGCGAGCTTGATCGTGCATAAGTACGAACGATCAACCGTGCGCGAGCGCGGAATTCGTCGGGGAATGAAATCGTAACGAGACTTCGTACTTCGCTCGTGCGGCATGGCTTTTCAGTGAAATCCGCAAATTACGAGCGGGCGCTCCACTTTTCCTTAGGCGCCTTGCCGTTTCGTCGATTTACTTTCTTACGTCGAGTAACACGGTCGAGGGCCTCCGCCTCCGCCTCGGAATCGAAATCGATCTTCGACACAGCGTTTCTTCGCCGCGCCATTAAAGGTCTCGATCCCCCTTCGCTCGCTCTCGAAGTTCCTCTCCGTGATGGGCCTCAAAAAAGCGAGTAGAAATTCCCCGTGTAGAAATTATCTTTACTTCTTTATATAGAAGCCAGGGGTCTCTATCAGCGGCAAATGCCGAACAATGCCAGGTCTACACAATCGGAGAAATCAGGAGACTCGTCTCTCTCTCTCTCTCTCTCTGCAATCGTGACGGTAAATCACGCAGCGGCACGAAGTATTTATGTCCGTGATCATTTTCATTGACCATCTATTTACGTTATCGATAAACTGTAGTTAGAGAGACAGTCTGAGTTGGACGTATTGAAACATCTGGCCAACAGGTGGTTGTATTTCTGAGACAATGGAGCTGTGAGAAAAATTTATCTTATTTCTCTATATCGAGGTACTTTTAAGGTTAATCTCTAAAACTTCAAAACCTCTGGAGTGAAGAATCTCACTCTGAAGAGTGAAATCTCACTTTGATTGAAAATGGAGCCGCTCTTTTTTTTTTTCCAACACCGATTCAATTTGCATTCTTTAGAGTGAAATTCCGTTCCAAAGAATTTTGAGAGTATTTAAGTATCGTGTAATTTGAGGCACATTTAGAGCAATATGTATTACGAAATTTCAATTAAAAATAAGATAATTTACAGGCGTAAACTATCTTATTTTAGTTCATATTATTAACGTACGTAAATCATAATAATAATTCAAAATGTATTGACTCTATCAAATTTCGTGTCACGTTCATTTTTCTTCTAATTCATACGTACGGATTAATTTTTTTTTTTTCTATTAGTCTATTAATATTTACTCCGAAATGTATTTATATTAATTTTATTATGACGTTAGATTAATATAGATCGACCTTAACACGTTATATCCACCCGCGCGCTATTCACGCTATTAATTTCATTCACTCTAAGTGGACCGATTTAAGCAGCTATATATTTATCATAATTACGTGCACTTAGCCGCCCAACACGGTGATAACGGCACGCTGTGTCGACAATAAATTCAGCGACAATTAGCCGTCCGTAACATTAAACAGCGCGCTTCTTCAGTAGATAATGACTCGTTTCTCACCCCGTTTCTTCGCGAGTGCAATTAGATGTAGCTACTGGGAAAGTCTCTCAAGATCTCGGAAGTAACAGTATCAGTTTTTACAAGGCCGTCTCGTTTGCCGGTTGCCCTCTGGGGGCACCAAAGGCCGTACTGCTCGCTACAGCGTGTCTCAAAGTTGCAAGCGCGATCGGTTTCAAAATTTCTTAATTCTTAGTCGAAGTGCATTCCCATTAGGGGAATTATTAAAAATAAAAGGCAGGTAATACATCGGAGTAATATATCTTATTTTCGAGACGATAATAATGCCTGAACTCGGGCTTTTAGAATTCTCTCGTTTTTAAACGAATTTTTATCTTACCGTTTTGCACTTCTGCGTTGCGTTTTAGGAACATATATCGTAACGTAAATTGTTACGCATAATTTGGCACACGTTTGCAAGAAAATAACGATACAAGATGCAAGCGAATCCTTTCTTTTTTCGTTGTTCACACACAAGATTGCTAAAGAATGCTGCGATTCGTGCAGCTGAATCGAGACGATTTGGACGATTTCATCGTACGTTATTTTGACTTTTCGTAACAGCGGCGAGTATCGTCTGTGAGGCAACGATGCAACAAAGATCTCGAGCAAAGGCTATCGATTTGCCGCTATTTTTGTGACGCGTAGACTCGAAAAATATTAAGCGCCAGACAACGTTAATTTCTTAAGAGATTCGCGGGTTATCGGCACAACCCGAGAGTTTTTGTATACTGAAAAACTCCTGACTCGTGTCAAAAGTCAACGGTAATCAATATAGACGTGAAGTGCTCAATCACGTCGAAGCCGATAGAGATTGATACGTGACTTTTATTTGACAATTCAATCGTGTCTTATCTCCCTGAGATGATCTAGGAAAACAGAAGACGACAATATCAAAACGCGTGTCAAATGAGCGAAATTTAAAATACACTCAGGATATACGAAAATTCTGAAACTTTACGACTTGTCCGATCGTGCTTTCGTCAAAGTCGAAACAATCTCTAGTTCTATTTGCACACGTTTAAATAACGACATACTCGTGATGCAAGACACGGAATCGAATTCTAGAGAAAATTCTGTGAGGAACCTACGTAAAAGTTTTTCCACTATTTTATCTTAAAAATACGTGCGTTATCGAAAGATAGGGCACAGTGTTTCGTGTCCTATCTCTGAGAAACGTGGTTGTCTTTTCTGATATAAGGCAATATTATGGGAGATAATTTTTTACACACAGTCACTTTAAGCATTTAGTTAGAAAAATATATGCTAGATAATTTTTATCCAATGTATGTCATATCTTGCATATTCTTTTATTTTTAAATGCAATTATAAAACCCAGGGTTGAATCTCCATTCATGGAAAAGAACGATTTTGCTGAAGTATTTAAATATTTCACGAGGTACAGATTTGAGAATAATTTCGTTCGACTATTGAAATAATTATATAGAATGTGAAAATTTTTGTAGCATTGCTCATTATATCTGAACGCCCTACATAATTATTTTGATACATCAAGAAAAATGTTTCGTACGAAATGTGACTTTCTGACTTTTCAATTTAAAAGGCTTTGTTATTCAACATTTGGTTACTCGAAATTTTTTGGAAAACATTTCTGTGCGTCAGTGTAATTCGACAAAATTACTTTTTTCAAATCTCTATCTATTTACATTTTTAGCAAAATCTATTTACACTTCCAGCAAAATTGTTTTTTCCGTGTTTAACTTAAAGTGCGAATTTCCACCTACGTGTGGAAATTTCAAATCATATCTATCAATTAACACATACGTATGCAGCTTCATTGTCGTTGTCATGAGAACTAATTTATATTAAAAACGTCACGCGGAATCTTGATACACACGCGAAAAAAGTAATGCATACCGACGTTTCTTTTAAATAACGTTCACACGAATCTCGTTTTTGTTATCAACGGCGCTACGATTGATCTATATACTCGTACGTACGATCTTCTCTCAGAGACACGATTCATCATTGTGCGGAAGCGGAAAATTTTTTCCGTCGGTGCATCCTGCGCACGTAATGTATACAATAGAACATTTGACGTTTGGTATGGGAATATTAGTAGACGCTTCTTTTCGCTTGTTACCTGGGCATTGTACCCACAATATATTACTGGCGTAAGCGCTGTGGGATAACGCGCGCATTATGTTTAGAGGCAGATGTAGAGCGAAAAGAACGAGAGAAC